CACATGCCGAAGATGTCAGCATAAATGTACACATGGAGGAGGGTGTCAGGCAACTGACAGCGTATCACACATTGTTACACTTTACACATGTCGCGTATTTTGTATTTCATTTATTTGTTTGCATTAAAAAAATGCGCATCAAAATTGGCTCAAAGTGCGCTTCATTGCTAGGTGGACTAACGAAAGTATAAATTGGTTCATGCAAACCTAAACGCGACTGCGCTGTAATTATGCTATTATATGCACATAATTACACTCGCTAGACTAGCAGCTAGCACAGTGTTCAAGCAGAAAATATATATTGAAATTAACATCACATATTGCACCTCCTTACATGGTGTAGGTTTAAATTATGTGCCACGTACAATATATGTATGTACAGATATAATATGTATTACGTAATATATACATATACATATGTACATAAATTTATGTTCTTACAAATATGATAATGCTTTTCCAGTGCCACTTTCTGAGTTGGCATGTTTGTTCGCATTACATTTTGAGCAGAAATCGACTGATGTTCGTCAAAACTGACAGACAGGATATGTTATCCTGTTCAGCGACACACACAACTGTCGTCGCAATCACATTTGTATCAAAAATATGAGAGTTCTTGTGATTTCGATTTGTTATTAGCTTGTGGGAACTTTCTTAATTTCGTGCTTCAATGCATTCAAAAAGCAGGAAATACTTCCAAAAAGGTAGGAGAAATTGGATTTCGACCTTTGTTGTTTTTGCATTTCCTAAAACGGCGATGGAATGCGGAAAATAACGGAGGGGGAGTCTATGAATGTTGTTACATATGTACGTATAAAAAAATGGCTTTTGCTAAAATATTGTGGCCTTTTTACATACGTGAGTGATTTCATTTAATTTTACACTTTGATGAATATATATGGTATATGGTATAAGTAATATAAATAATAAATATGTAAGTATATGTATAGATGAGTATATAGCTCTTATGTCCAAATAAAACAACCAAAAATTATGCGATAATTTTGTAGCCTTTTATTTTTCCCTTACGCTGCTGCTGGTTCATAAGCAGTAATTACGTACTCTACTACGGTAAGAGCTATGCTCTAAGAGGGGATAGCTCGTTTAGCTAAAAGCTGCTGAGTGCAATAGTTTTTGTGTTGTTTAATCGGATTAATTAGATTTTGCGCAATATTCTGAAATAATCTATGTTAAATGTTTTCACGCATGAACGGAAATTCCCTCAAATTATGTATTAAGGTTAATAATTTTGGGTGCTGCTAGGTGCAAATGGTGTAGATTTATGGGTAAAATCGTGGGCATTTAACATGAGTATAAAAATGGATTGTATATGTTTGCATTGAGCTCACTGTTCTTATAGAATGGTATTTCATTTCGAGTTTATATTTTAGTTAGAAATTTGTGCATGTTTTTGTTTAAGGTTTTATTCAGTGGGAGTTCTGCGAAAAAGCCATCAAAAAATTGTTGAAGCAAAACATCCGTTTTTATAAATGTCACCTGCTATAGATATTTGATTTTTGGCTCTTTTAAATTAAAACCTTTATTGGTTGCCGACCAATCGAAACATTTTAACTAGCTGCCTTTATTTTAGGACATCTGTTTAAATACATATATGCCTATACGCCATTCGTATATTCGAAAAACGAAAAGCAGTCGCCAAAGTATGAAATTGAAATTTCCACAGAGCTATAGTTTCAAAGCGTGTCAAAATAATAGCGCTACTGAATTCTTTTTCGACAATCTGCTTATCTTTGCAAATGTGTAATAAAAAAAATTAACGCCTTCGCGCTTGCGTCCTAGTTGACTAGTTAATTATCTCTGCTATTGTTAAGCGCTTATTGTATTTCTGAGTGGATTCTCCGCAGGTGAGAATGCTCTACATCCTATGCGTAATCATGTTTGACCAGAAAGAAAATAAAGACAGCTGCGTCCATGGTACGTAAGCGACAAGGATGTCATCATCGGCAGACTGGGCAGTCTGTCCATGCTACGAAAAGGTGCGTACGATCTTAATATGTGCAACGTTGTATTCAAAATTAGGCTCCCAGCCGAACGAAGTTGTAAACCACAGAACACACGGGAATTTATTTCTTTTGTTATTTTTCCTCATTTTCTAAGCATTTTAAGGCGCTAGCTCGTAAAAACCGCTCTTAATAAGAGTGGCTGCTGTGCTGTCAGGCGATTTAATGAGATCTTTTGATTTTACCTATTGTTTGCTAGTGCTGCATGTATTTTTATGCTTGTGACGCGTGGAAAGATTTTGTAAATCATTCTGCATTAGAGGCAGGCTTGGATTTTTTCTTTTTATACTATAATACTTTTGTTCACCTCACGGTTGTTTCTATCACCTAAAACTAATCGAGATAATATAGGAATATGTATATATAAATAATCAGGATGACGAAACGAGTTGAATCCGACTTGGGTAAAACTTAAGATATCTTGATGAAACTTGGTACACTTGTTCCTTGGCACCATAAGATGTTTAGAATGATAAATTTGTAATCGGACCACGGCGATGCTTACAAAACGTCATTTATCCAAAACATATAAAGTGCCCTAACTAAGCCGCAATAATATATGTATATATCAAACCATTTAAGCTAAATCACCCAAATTTGCAGAGGACAAATACATTTGACACCTCTGACGATATTGTGAAAAGAGGTAAAATCAGATAATAAACCTTAAGCAAAATAGTCATTAAGCCCGTAAAATGTAAACAAAGGGTCAACGACCTCAAATGTAAACAAAGGTTGTTACTTTAATGTAACAAAGGTTCTGGACTTGGCTAATGTAAACAAAGGGTCAATAACCTTATAAAATGTAAACAAAGGGGCCATTGACCTCAGAAATATGTAAACAAAGGTTCATTGACCTCATAATATAAACAAAGGGTTCATTGACCCCATCAAAATGTAAACAAAAGGGTCAATGACCTCAAATGTAAACAAAGTTGTTGACTTGCTAATGTAAACAAGGTTGTGGACTTGGCTAAATACAAACAAAATGGTCAATAACCTCATAAAATGTAAACAAAGGGGTCATTGACCTCAGCAAAATGTAAACAAAAGGTTCATTGACACCATAATGTAAACAAAGGGTTCATTTACCCCATAAAATATAAACAAAAGGGTCAATGACCTCAAATGTAAACAAAGGTTGTGGACTTGGCTAAATGTAAGCAAAGGTTCTGGACTTGGTTAAATGTAAACAAAGGTTCTGGACTTGGCTAAATGTAAACAAAAGGGTCAATAACCTTATAAAATGTAAACAAAGGGGCCATTGACCTCAGAAAAATGTAAACAAAAGTTTCATTGACCTCATAATGTAAACAAAGGGTTCATTAACCCCGTAAAATGTAAACAAAGGGTCAACGACCTCAAATGTAAACAAAGATTGTTGACTTTGCTAAATGTAAACAAAGGTTCTGGACTTGGCTAAATGTAAACAAAAGGGTCAATAACCTTATAAAATGTAAACAAAGGGGCCATTGACCTCAGAAATATGTAAACAAAAGGTTCATTGATCTCATAATGTAAACAAAGGGTTCACTGACCCCATAAAATGTAAACAAAAGGGTCGATGACCTCAAATGTAAACAAAGGTTGTTGACTTTGCTAAATGTAAACAAAGGTTGTGGACTTGGCTAAATGTAAACAAAAGGGTCAATAACCTCAAAAAATTTAAACAAAAGGTTCATTGACACCATAATGTAAACAAAGGTTGTGGCCTTGGCTAAATGTAAACGAAAGGCTCATTGACCTTATAAAATGTAAACAACTTCGGCGCACCTAAAGTAAAGATTTTTTCTTGTTTAATATATAGTTTTGCTACACCTGAAGGTAAACAGGGCAAGTTTTGATCCTTGCAAATTGCAAAAGTGCAAAACGCTCGGTTACACCCGATTATAGCCCTTCCTTACTGGTATAATTTAGCGCTGTTTTTTATTTCTTATGCTTTAGTTTATGACCCATTCATTGTACTTATTTAGTAGAAAATAAATACAAATTAAATTAGTGCGTATTGAAACATTCATAAGTAAAAAGAACTGATATGACAACATAGTTTCCTTCTTTCTTACGCAATACATGTGCTTAACATGTGTTAAGTTAGATATTATTTTTTTTGCCCTTGACACTTTATTTAGATTGCATTCTCTTAGGGATATTGTTATATAAATGTCTAAACTATTTAGTTTGAGGCATTATTGGGCGTTACTAGAGGAGCTATGTATAAGACATTTGGCATTAACGAATTTTGCAAACCAAAGTACTATATTTTCTCACGTAATCTACTAATAAGCAATGCACCACGGCTCATTTACGCTTCCTCCCTTTTTCGGTCACTTAACTTCCATACTGTTGAAATCATCAATTTATCTAGTAGAATGTTACAACAGCAACAATCGACAATGAAATCCGCAAATTGTACGCTTCAATGCTTCCACAGATTGGCAGGCAACACTCCACCTTAAAGAAAGGGGATGAGGCGGAAATAACTCCTTTAGTATAATGTCAGACAAAGTAATGTCAAATTTATGATGAAGGCGCTTCGCAAAAACACTTTATGTAATCTTTGATTTTATTCTAGCTGCCATTCGAAGATCGGGCAATCATTGCGATGATCCAATGAATTTACGAGTATATACAAATTTGACAGTGTCAATGAGGCAATAAAATTGTATATCCTTCTATCAAGTAATCGAAGAATGCCATAGGCTAAATAGAAGATTAGAACAACTGAATAGAAAGGGTATGACAGTCTGATGACTTTTATGACTATTGATTGCAGTTTTCGCAAGACCGCACACACTATTTATGCTATCATATTTTTTCGTTGCATTATTATTCGTGTCAATAAAATATCAAATGTCACAGCAAGCATTCGATTTCCCACTATCTAAAAAAGTATGCGATTCCACTACCACATATGTACATACGACATCATAGCCTTCGTGAGCCGTTCGTGTAAATGCCTTAATACTTATTTCATGATACTTTTCTTTTAATATCAATATGTATTCATATGTTTATTTCTTAATAACATTTATGCAACAAACGAGCTCTTAGAAGCTTTACATACTTAAGGTATACAAAAAAATAAATGCAGCATTCCATGTATGGATTGTTAAGAAAATATCAAGCGTACAAAAATATATCAACTTTGTTATTTTTGTATCGGTCATTGACCCTAAGGCATCTTAAATAGGAAGACAAACGCCCTGGACTATCACTTTATACAGTATGTACTTTTGGTCTACTTCATCGTGGGCATGGCTACCGCCGCCTGCGTGTGCGTCACATCCGTTTCGCGCCACAATTGTGTTACGGTCTTGGTTTGTGTGTAGAATTTGATGCCCATTTTACCCGAGAAGTGGTGATCCCCTTGAAAGGAGCCACGCGTGCCGGTGAACGAGAACATGGGTAAAGCTACGGGTATGGGCACGTTCACACCCACTTGGCCCACATCGATTTTGTTGACGAACTTGCGTGCAGTTGCGCCGTTAGTGGTAAAGATCGCTGTACCGTTGCCGTAGGGGTTCGCATTGATGGTTTGAATGGCTTCATCGAGAGTATCGGATTTCAAGATTACTAAGACAGGTCCAAATATTTCCTCTTTGTAACACTCCATATCGGGTGTAACGTCAGAGAGTATGGTGGGGCCCACGAAGTAACCCGCCTCATAGCCAGGCACCTTGACGTTGCGTCCATCGAGAATGAGTTTAGCTCCTTCCTTTACTCCAGATTCAACAAGGTGATTAATACGTTTCCTCGATTGTTCACTAATGACTGGGCCCACATCAGTGCCGGGCACATGACCAGCATTTACCTTCAATTTCTTGGCGCGCTCAACCAAATCTGGAATCCATTTCTGTGCTTCACCAACAAACACGGCAGTAGAAAGTGCCATGCAACGTTGACCCGCAGCACCAAAAGCGGCACCAGCCAGTTGGTTTAAGGTGTTCTCCTTGTTTGCGTCGGCCATAATAACACCGTGGTTCTTGGCACCCATATTGCTCTGCACACGTTTACCATTTTTGCCAGCACGCTCATAAATGTATTTGCCCGCAGCATCGGAGCCAACGAAGGACACGGCTTTGATTTCTGGCGCATCGCAAATGAAATTGACAGCTTCATGTTGACCATGAATGACATTTACAACGCCGGGTGGACATCCAGCTTCATTTAACAGCTCCATCAACAGCATAGTCGAGCCGGGCACTCGCTCTGAAGGCTTCAGAAGCATAGTGTTGCCGCAAGTAATGGCAATTGGAAACATCCATAGAGGAATCATGACGGGGAAGTTGAAAGGTGCAATACCCGCGGTGACACCCAAAGGCAAGACAAGCGAATAAGTATCCATATCACGTGCCACGTTAGCCACAGTCTCACCCATTGCAAGTGAGGGAATGCTACAAGAGTGCTCAACCACCTCTGTTTTAATAAAAACAAATTGTAGTAATATTAGCTACAAATGCATAAGTGGAAAAACGGTAAAATAAGACTTACGTAAACCACGTAGGACGTCGCCTTCAGCATCGGCAAGTGTTTTGCCTTGTTCCTTGGTTATGTTCTTGGCCAATTCACCCATATTCGATTTGATCAATGCTTGTAATTTGAACATTACCTGCTGGCGGGATAACACTGATTGTTGGCTCCACGATTTGAATGCTTTTTTGTTCGATTCCAAAGCAGCTTGCATCTCACTTTGTGTGCACTTGGGTACCCGGCTAATGACCTCATTGGTAGCGGGGTCGTGCAAATCTATCCATTCTTTGGTTTGAGACTCCACAAATTTTCCATCGATGAACATTTTTGTAGTTGCTGGAGCAGAAGAGTAGCCGCGCTTAGCCAACAAACGGCACTATAAAAAAAACATAAAAAAGGAAAACACTTAGTATATTTTACCACAGAATCTGCAATAGCAAGGTATACTTGACCGTCTTTGATTCATTGCTATTAAGCCCAGCGAGCGCATACCTTACAACCTATTTATTAGTACATGTACCATATGTAGACATGTTTTGTCCAGTTGTTTGCGTTTCTATTAGGATTGATGTACATAAAGCAATTTACCACTCAGTCACAAACGGTTGAGTACGCTAAATTCATCGCCGAATAAATTATAAAACTAAAAGCATGCTGACAAAGTCAGGTCTACATATGAACTGTTGAGGTATTCAAATTGAGTTGATAAAACGGTTGATTTCAGTTTTAATTAATTTGACATTGCACGGACTCTACTATGAGCGAAAGTCAAAGTGCTTGGGGAAAAGCATTACATCGCAACGCAAAAGCTAATCAATGAAGGAATATACTAATGTTATATACAAGCATTCTCGCACTCGTAATAAGAGAGTAAACAGTTTACAGCAGCGGAAAATTTACTGCTATATAAGTACGTACATATAATACACATACGGCTCATTTTTCATTGAAATGATAAATTACCATGTGTATACGAGTATATTACAGTTAAGTGTTTGTTTATATTTTTATCAAAAATTTTTTAGCGTTTGTTCATCTTATTGACGCCATAACAGTTTTTAATTACCACTTATAGTTTTATCGCCAACTGCTACTTTATTTTCCCAAACTGGTAAACAGAATATCACATTTTTGTTGCTTATATTGTATAAAAAAATTGCACGTAAAGTTGTTAAACCAAAAGCGACAGAGATGTGTATATTATACTTTGTATATATACACCTTGATTATATCTGCATATAGATATGTGCTTATTCTTTCCACTTATTTGGTTGACTTGTGAACTGACGTACATGCCGGTTTATTATCATTTTCGCTATATATCGTATACATGCGTTACTTATAGTGTATATGCACACATGCCCTGCAGGAAAAATTCCAAATAGACAACAGAAGCTTTAATTTCGGTTAGTTGGCTCTTGCTACATCACATTATTTGACATTTTGAAATTTCGTAATATCAAAAACTGTTTATTGTTTCTTCATAACAAAAGACATTAACAAAAATTTTGTTTCATGTTATCAGGTATGTTAAAGTACTTATACCTATTTGATTTCAGTTTTGACTGTCGCCGCGGCAATCGAACTAATAATACACCAACCGGTAGCCACGCACTCAACACATTTCGCTCTTTGGCCGGCAGCAAGGTAAGCACAAATATACATATGTTATATCTATGTACAAAAACAATACAAAATATATTTCTTTGCAGCCGCTAGGCAACGGCATGTAGTGGTCGCGTTCTACCCGTAAATAAGTTACATAACATTATTGTGATAAAGAATTCACTGCCACGCGTGGCTCTGAGCAAAACAAACACCAATTAAAATAGAAATGAGCAAATAATAAAACAATTATTGCGATGACATTGTTGTTATCTCAATAATGCGGCATATTCTTAATTGCTTGATTTATTGTATGTACATTCGTTTTAGTCCGATTATCATAAAAACCTCACCTCAGCGCCAATTAAACGAATCAAAGACATCTTCACAGTAATTAACCACGTCACTGCCGAAATATTAAAACAAATTGTGTTTTGTCCAAGCACTGGCGAATTGCGACTGAACCAAACAGCCTAATGGCTCCACTAGAACTGAAAAATCTTGCGACTAGCCTTCACATGAACAGCGATACTTGATTTCTAGCCAGCCAACAGCGACAGCGCAGTGAGCAGCCGACGACAGGTTATCTCCCTTCCAATAAGTGGACAACTCGGCGGTGACGCTCGCTCAGAGAGAGGCTATTCAATTATTTATTTATCAACATATGCGAAAACCAATAGAAAAGGCCAGCACGAAATGTGGCGTTGCTGCTAAATGCTCCATCAAAGCATTCCATGTGAAAGTATATATATCTTAATATGCAAATATGTTATGATAATGTTTTTGTGTGGAGTCACTCTTAGCAACAATTACCTTTAAAAGTAAATAATTCGGCATCACGCTCCATTTGACTTCTTTGTTTATCTGAAATTAGAAATTCATAAATTAAATCTATAAATAATTGCACGCGTCTCTGTTATTTTGCTCAGCGATTATAGATATATACATACATCCAACATATACCTATGTATATGTACACATCTGTGTATTGTGCGATCAGAAGCAGCAAACATGAGCAAATATAAAGAACAAGAGCAGCAGCTCGTGGTCGCGCTGTAAGCGCCTACATGCCCATTTGTTAGAGAAAGCGGGCCTGTCAACAACTGGAAAATTATCAATATATTTGTGTAGAATTGCATATACTATGGGTACTTAATATTATATTGGGAAGTCCGTGTTTGATGATAAATTTTACGCCTTCCTATTCTTGGTTTGGTTCTGTATTTTTCTTATTTTTACCACGTTGATTACTTTTGCATAAATATGAATTATGTGCACATTGAAAAAAAATTGTATTTGCTTTCTTAATTAGTAATAAATGTTAACCAAAACCAGCGCTTTGAATTATTTATTACTGAAAAAGACACCCAGTCGTTTCACATCAGCTCGTTTCGCACAGCCACCACATCAAGTATATCCTAACTACGCTAATACCGTTATATTATGACCAAGGATGTGCCATAACAAATGCAGCATTGCCAGTTGTATTTGCTAAGTGCGCCAAAAACGGCCGGCCAAAGCACAGAATGCCTGATGACAAATCACCTAACTCAATTTGGAGTGAAGACAGTCGCACGCTCTTTTGTAATAAGTTACTCTCACGGCAATTTAAGTGAGCGCGGAAAGGAACACAAGGAATACGTCCACAGGTCCTTTTTATTGATTTTTCGTTGCCGAGTAGAAAAAGCAAACTCGAAGTATTTGTCAAATACTCAACTCAAGTGGCTGACAGTGAACGCTTATCGACGAGTACACACAAAATTAGCATATTTGACACGAATTGGCGATTTGCGAAAATTGTTGGGATTGCAGCACATCGAGAAATACTGCTTAAGAAAATTTCCGAAACCAAATATACTTCAGTGAGCAGAAGTTATTGCAAGAAAACTTAAAAACGAAAATAATTTCAAATCAAATAAAAGCATTTAACTGTGTTAAGCGATTGTGACTTCAAGTCATTGAAGTTAACGTAGTGAAAAAAATATTTCAGTGGTAAAAAGGATAAACATAAAAAAACGTTCTTCAACAACATTCCCTCTGCTCATGAAATGACTTTTCAACAAAAAGTGTTTTCAGTATTATAAACAAGTTTTCATAATCTAGCGCAAAAACGCAGAATCCTGCAAGCTGCTTCAAAACTCTTACATTTTGTGGAGAACAGCAGAAAGGTGGTAAAATAATTGAATGCCCCAATCTACCACACACAATACTGGCGACTAACGATAAAAATCTGTAAGAGTTCGGAGGGAACCCAGAAAGCAATATCCACTTCTGTAATAGCAATTCATTACAGTTATCGTGCAAAACAGCCGCTCATTGTGCCCTCTTCTACTTAATTTCCTGTCGTGCCACAGAATATTGTTTAATCAATAACGAATAGAGCGATTGGCGAACGTAGTGGTTACTACGTTACAACCACCGACACCCACTTTGTGTGTTGCATGTGTGTGTAGCGAGTTTAAAGTTAGTAATCTTTCACCCACCCTCGCAATGCTAAGGCATTCTCAAACTACTTAGACCAAACAAGTGTACGTTAGTGAGTCTTTTCACACCAACTCAGCGCCACAAATTGCAGCGTAAACATGTACAAGACGGTGCGGCATGGCGAGAACAGCCTGCAATATACAATACTGCCACAAAATGATGATTTTCGCATCGAGGGCAAGCTATCAAGCGCCGGCAGTAACAGCAATTCCATTACCGGACGCAAAGGAAAGGCGCGTCGACCAAGACGCCGTTCATTTTTCGCATACTTGGGATTGATTTTCATATGTACCGTTATTGTAGGCGCAGTATTGATACCGTTCCTGGTCTCAGCCGAGTGCCTGCCCAACCCCACGGAATGGTTCTTGAAGACAAAGGCAGCACTAACACATGGCGGCAACATTAATGGGCTGCATAGAAGCAGCGGTGGACCGAGGAAGGCCGGTGCAAATGGCATTGGCAGCCCACAACATGCGCCGCTACACAACAGCGCCGCTAACATTGGTCAAAAAGTGGAAATTATCAATCGCGACGGCGTGGAGAAAATAATTTTGCGCGTCAATAAAACACAGACGCAGCCAAATATAAATGCGACCCAAATCAGACCGATTGCATATGGTTCAGACAAAGAACAGCAGCCACCTACTGATGAAAACAATTCAACGGCAAACGTTGAATCGCAAACGGCTATTGAAACCAAGAGTGGAGTACTTACAACCACTATGCTGGGTTTGAGCAGCGATGCACTGCAGGATGTGCATATGTCGGCTAATAATGCAACAGTCAAGCAGGCGTCGAATGGAGTAGGTAACTTCGTCACAGAAGTTCGCTTCGAATCGGACAGTATTCAGCCCGCCAAGATTGTAGTAATCACCACGCAGCGTACACAGCTCCCTCAGAGTGGGAATGAAATCAGTGGCAACAGCAATAAACAGCTGGACTCCAACGCAAATAATGTTCAAGTGCCCAGTCGCACAGTGCAAAATATACCAGTAGCCGCAATACGTCCAACAACGTCCTTCTCCACTACAAGCATATATTCGCCACATGCACCGGCGGCTGCCTCGATGGCGGTTGCAGCGTCAGCCAATGCCAATGCGATTTCCAATCAAAACTCCACCCTACCTACCATTACGACTCGCATAATGCAATTGCCGCTGCTCAAGTCCACAGCAAAGAAACCGATCATACCGCCCGTGCTGGTGCGCACCAACTCAGAAATTAAACCACAAAATCAAAGCAGCAACAAAGCGGCAACCGTAGACGGTGGCATCGGGCAAGATATTGCTGCTGATGCGAGTGGAACCGGTGTGTTGGATCCTATTAAGATTAACGCGGAAACAAAGAACGCCGCCTGGATACAGTCGCATTGGCCATATATTGATCCGTCGACATATTTCCAATGGACTGTAAGTATCAAATGCCGTTTGGATTGCTCAAGTGTTGCTGTATTTTTGAAATCATATATGCGAAAATTTCGAAAAATTGAGTTTAGACTTTCTGATTTCTTGAAAATATTTATTTAACTTTTAAAAAGCAGCTTTAAAAACTCAAAGACTATGTTTTTAGAAACATATTTTGTTAAATGACTCGTATTTCTTGTAGAACCTTATGCAAGCGGCATGGTTCAGCAGTAGTAAAGACCTAGGTTCTTTATTATAATCGTGTGAATAATTTAGTATTATAAAACTTAAACACAGTTATGCATATGTAACTGTACATACATGCATATACTTAAGTCATTAATACATACGTATAAATTTTCTTACTTACATGGCGCTGCTACAAAGGGTTACAAGGAGGATAGCGTTCTGCTGCCAGCCTTGCTGGGCTTCGCCTTAATTGGCATGATTCTAATCATTGCAATTTGCTTGATAGCACGCAACAAGCGCGCCATCGTTTCATCGGTGCGCAAGCGAAAACGCAATGTAAGTAGCTCCTTTACCTATACAGCAAGTAAGAGCTACTAATTTCGATTTTTTTTTTTTGGTTTTTTGTTTTCAGGATGTGGAAGAGGCCGGTGGCGACGACAACACAACGCTGCTGACCAATGCAAATCTCTCCGATGAGGATTAAATCCGGCAGCAACAACACCACACATTTTGTTGGCAGTCAAACGCACACAGACACATGCTCCCAGCCGGAACAAGCTGCACTTGAAGTGGTCACAAATAAAACGACGAGCGGTCTTATCCACCATAGCCGAGCAAGTGGAAACGGGTGTATTGTGCAGTGTAAACGGCAGCGCGACTATTTATTTGTTCTTAGGGTTTATTTTCTCCCAAGTAAGCAAAGCTCACACTGGACACAATCAGCATTATTAAGTGAAGATATTAACTATAGACGTGTCGACAACACGCAAGCAACCATTAGTATTACCTAATTACATACACAAGTATATGCATTTGAAAAGTATGTGAAGCGAATTTCTGAATTACAAATACAGCAACAAAAGTGGAGCGTATGATTGCAAAACTACAAAAGCACACTTTGAAACGCCCAACTTACATGTTCGAAGCAAACAAAAAGCATATTAAGACTGTTGTATTTAATTAAAAAAAGCTGTGTATTTAAAGTACTTAAGTTAATTATAGTTTCTAAATTTACATATTCAACTTTCAAAGACAATGTGGAAGTGCACAAAAAGGCTAGATATGCAAGAAGAAACATATTACATACATGCATACGTGTATGCATGCGCACAGCAGAGCTATATTTGTAGTTGCCGCTGTATAAAATCAGAAACTCGAAAATATGCGTATGCAGTGTAATTAGAAAAAATTATATAATTGTGAATCAAATTGAAAACTTCTTCAAATTATAAGTAGCATAGACATACAAAACGTAAGCCTGCATATAAATATGTATAGAAGCGAAGCAAATATCGCAAACGTCCGCTGTATTTGACAGGCGTTCGCGCAAGTTGCAGCGCCTAAAAGTAGACTACATGCAGCGCCACTATTTATAATACACTTAAGCTGCTTGTGCCACCTTGCAACCTTGAAACACACACACATAAGTAAGTACATACATAAGTAAAAACAGGCTTACAACTCTTGTAAAAAAAACTCAATTTAGATATTCAACGCGCGCTGATCCAATAGCTTTATATGTATTGAACGCTAAACGAACCTGCACCATAGCTGGAACAGCCACATATATGTATATTCCCATACATATACAGACACACACACACAAATGTATTCGCCGCGTAATTGTATTGTTGTAACAGTGTTCGACGTAGAATTCCCGTAAAGCAAATCAAAGTTGCACAAAAATGTAGTTATCGAACAGAAAAAGAGCAGAAAATTGAAAACTATTTTTGTAAGACGATGTGATAGCAAGTAGACAAGCGTAATTAGTGTAAACACACATATACAAAGCACATGCAACAACAACAACTCTAATCTAAATATTTATGTATTGTTCATACATAGATACCAACACATGTGCAAACCCATGCACGCACAAATGTTCGCATTGCCAATAACAACATCAGTTACCGCGTGCGTTTCGGATGCACACAGTTCGTGTTTTCGCAACGGTAATTCTCTTTGAAAATATGCGAGTTTCAGCATTCTGCAATTGTTGCAATAATTGTGGCAGCAGTGAGTGCAAACCTTTGTGCATGCGCGTATATGTGTTCCTTATGGCATATTTAAAGTTAGTGCAGATGCGTGCGCGCATATAAACCGTTAAGTATGTAAATGTAAACTATTTATGCAAAAAAAGTGTTAAGCCACGTGAGATATATATTGTATATTGTAGTATGTACATATGTATGTGATTGATTCATTAGTATTCGTACGCATACTTGCCACACATACATACATAACTATAAATTGCGTATACATACATACACACAAATATACAAATATTGACACATAAGTTTGAGTAAATGTTAAATTTAAGTGCAACATTACACGCAACTATTTATAACTGAAGTGCATACACACATTCTCCTATATAAATGTTACACACACATATACATATACATATACTTATATACATAAATGCATATATATTGAATGTTTCTGCTTGTTATTCCGGTACTAATGATAATCCACCAAACTAGCAAAGCGAATACAAGCAACAAATGAAATGAATGGTTACCTAATTGTTGACAACAACACACAAACACACACTCATACATATATACATATATACACACATTTGCAGATATAAGCCTAATACATGCCTACTGACCACACAAACAATATAATTAGCAATCAAATATATGTACGACTTTCATTGGCCGACATTTTACAAAAACAACAATAATATTGTATGCACGCATGTATTTATACCATATATAAGTGCAGTACGTAATTCGCAAGTACCATATGTAATTCTGAAAATATTGTATGAATGCAATTTCGCGCTTCAATGTGGAGGAGGCCTTCACCTCACCGTAGCCCTTACACATGACAACAAAAGCAAAATTGTCATTTATAATTACCTAAAAGGGTTTGCAGCGAATACACGTAAAAATACTCGTATATAAAACCCTTTTCCACAGAATATATATAAACACACGAATATAATAAAAATCTGGCTTAATTTGTTTTAATTGGCTTAAAATGTGTTACCAAGCTGGCCCATGGGTGATGAGACTACATGCAAAATGTTCCTGTAAAATCTCTAGAAATGGTAGTTATTGTACATTGCAGTTGCTAATAAATCATGCATTTGAAAGATTCCGCTCTCCCCTTATTACGACACACAAACCAAAAAAAAAAACAATCTTTAATATTTATTGAAATTTAAAACAATATATATATTATAATAATTTTTCGAAAACGGAAGCTATCAACCGGAAGTTTGTTCAAACAAGCATTTCCAATAACATAAATTTCCGGTTAAACACTTCCGTTTCCTGAAAAAGTATATCCTGTTGAAGTTGGTATATGTTGGGTTTCCGGTTCCGGTTAAAGCACATCCTATTCGAGCGTTCAAACAAGTTTTTCCATTAGCATGCGCCTCCGGTTTAACACTTCCGTTTCCTGAAAAATTATATCCGGCTAAGGTTGGTGTGTGTTGGGTTTCCAGTTCCGGTTAATACACACACTCTTTGTGTCTCCGTTACCCAGGTCGCATCCGTTACACATATGCCCATACCATATACCTGCCCGCCGGACACACATGTACGCACATACACACATACATCATACTTGCATAAAATCAAATGACTTTGAACGGTCATAACTCCAGTGAATCCGAACCGATTTTGATTAATTTGGTGTCAAATGAAAAGAAATTTAAGCTTTATATATGTAACTGCTGTTTCTAAAATGATTACACAGTGCTTTGTTTTTGACTACGCCACCACAAAATTAGTAACTTACTACTATATACCATATATTCTGTAGCGGTTACATTTTCATATATAAATTTACAGATTACTACAAATTCATAAGTAATACTATACAACCACGTATATAAGCATACATATGTATATGCGCGCGTACATTTCAATTATCTTCTTAGTCGGTAAACTGTAACGCCTAATACAACATAAGTTAGCTTTTGCGCCTAAAAACCTACTCAATTTAAATCATTAATAAAGTATATATACACATAATTTATAATTATTATTGGTTTAGGAATTTTCTAAAACTAGCTCATTGGAATCTGGTATTTCATTTTGTTTCACGCGCTTCTCATATCATTTTTGTATATTTTTTTCTTTTTGAGCATCCGTGTGCTGTTTCACAAACTGATTGAAGTTTTGTTCCTCCACATGATCTTCATTAAAGGTAGGTGCTTCTTCTTCGCGACCTTCTTCGTCCTCAGAACTCTCATTTCCAGGATGTTTGAGATAAATATCAGACAATTCTCGGCCAAGTGGAACCTGAATACATTTACATATACCATAAGAACCACATATATAAAGATTTCATTTTTACTTATTATTTACCTCCTCTACAAAACCACCCAAATGTACTTCGCTTCCTTCACCTTTGCTCTTTGCGATCGCAGCTAATTTATTTTCTTTCATTTTCGCTTCTTCAGTTAATTTGGCCTCTCGTAGTTTGATGTATTCTGCTTTATAATCGCTGCAAGCAAACAAATAAAGCAGAATTAATCTTAAATTTGTACTATAGTATAACAATTTCTATTACCGTTCGTATTCTTTCGCGCAATCGCCCACTAAATCATAAAATCGATCAAATCCAATCCCCGTCTTCGACGACACCCCACACGTTCGTAGGTTACGATAGAACTCATCGAGTGTAAGGGACATTGTTCTTGTCAAATTACTGATATAGTTTTGTTCTTTCTCTAGTGCTTCCTGAAAAGCCTCGAAATCATTCATCCACTCAACAGCAAAATCATGGTCCTGCACATCTATCTGTAAAATATAAAATCTTGTGAAATAACAGCTCTAATATTGAGTTAAACCCCACTCACTTTGTTGAGTGCCACAATGAAAGGCAGGCGAGCTTTATACAATATGGAGCAGGCATACAGCATATTTGACATGAATGTGGTCGGGCTTATGGAACGCACAACATCCATCACATACACTACAACAGTTGGAAACATGGTAGCTAGTGCCTCAGTGATTATAGTGCCAGAAGCCGACCATGTAAATACTTCGATTTGTCCAGGTGTATCAATAATGCACCACTTGTGACCCTGCTGGCCAGCGCGCCTTATTAACTCCACCACCTTTTCAAATTTAGTGGCAAACAAGTTCAACGAGGTGACAATTCCACCATTCGGACCCAGTTTATACTGTTTCATAACTTCTTTGTAGTTCACCGTGTCTCTGATGTCAATATTAGCATGGTATGGAGTTTCTCGACACGCAGGATCAAGATTTATAACATACGGTTTGAAATGAGTAAATGAAAGCTGAGTAAGCTTCTGAACGAATGTGGTCTTTCCAGAGCCAGCCATGCCAAGCACAATCATGCATACTGGTGTCGTTACTGGTTCTTGCCCGGTTGCAAATGATGCTTCCTCACCAGCTGATGAACTAGCTTTGAAACTAGTACTCGCCATTATTTAATGTATTTGCTAAAATATACAAATATATAGAAATTGTGGAATATACTTTACAAACAAAAACGCGGTGTAAAACGCGAGTTGAAGAGATGCCGTTCTGGTAAAATTTTTAAACTAATGAAAGAACTGCCATATATATTTTTTCTAATTTTTATAAAACACCTGGTCAATCTTTTATATTTATTACATAAACCAAATTTTAATGTAAATACAGGGCATAAAATTATTTTTTATAACTAAACATAGCTTTACTTTATACTATATTATCTTATAAAACTATGTAAGTATGGCAACGTTATGAATAACCTCAATTATGAAACATATGCAAAATCAAAACAGCTGACCGTCAAATAGGTGAAGAAATCGGAAGTGATCAAAATTTGTTTGTTATTTAACAAAATTAAAACTGCAATAAAAATTTAGAAAAATAGAAAATGTCTGGAAGATTAATCCTACGCCAGCTCTTCCGACAGGGCGCACTTGCGCAACGCATGCCTGTGTTTAAACGATATGAAAGTGCGTCAACAGCTACTGGTACAACTAGCACCACCAAGCAGCCAACATTCAATAAGGACACATTGAAGCAGCTTGTAAATACAAATAAAGTTGTAATATTTATGAAGGGTAATCCCGAAACACCAAAATGTGGTTTTAGCAATGCAGTGGTTCAAATATTGCGAATGCATGGTGTACAATATGACGCGCATGATGTGCTTCAAAGCGATGAACTGCGACAAAGTAGGCTTTCAAGTACAGTGTTTTCCAAACTATTGCTTATCAAAAATTTAATTTATAGGCATCAAAGAGTTTTCCGACTGGCCTACTATCCCTCAGGTCTATATAAATGGCGAATTTGTGGGCGGTTGTGATATTCTATTGCAAATGCACCAAAGTGGCGATTTGATAGAGGAGCTAAAGAAGGTTGGCATAGAATCACTCTTACTGACAGAAACTAAAAATCCAGAAAAAAGCTCAACAAAAGACACTAAACCCGATCAATAGTGAAATCTTTGCGATATTAACAGCACTTTGTTTCGAAAATTTATGTAACTTTTGCGAAATATTATTTAACTTAACGTGTTTATTTAATTACAATGTTAAATATGAATAAAATTATGTTGAATTTAGTATGATCACCCATACCAAGTATTTCTAGTTACTCTTCCGGCGATGGTTATATTCAGCAAAAGCAAGTAGCTCCAAAATTTTCACATAAATTTGCGTAGGATTATGAATTCCTAATATTTCCATAGAGTACTGCCGATGTTCGCTAATTACCATGTTAGCAACTATAATGGCGATCGAGAAAGCAGTGCGATGATGCAGCTGTTCCACAGATGGAACATTTCTCTTCCGGCGTGGTGCCATTTACAAAAAATTATAAATTATCAACCAATTTCAAAGAAAATACCAGATTGGCTAAACACGCACAAAACTTTCTCGTATTCATAAGCACAAAACCGCTATTTTAACGTGAAACACTGTATATTATGTATCATGCACATAGATATATAATGCAAGCACAGTGGTTTGGCTACAAACATTTCCGCAATAAAAATTCAAACTTCGTATAACTTCCATTTTATTCTCGATTTGTCATTTCAACAATACATTGAATGCATTTTACAATTTTAATTTATTTACTTATGCTTCGATTAGTAATTTACGTGTGAAATATTAAAATATAATAAATATTTTAGTATTTGTGTTCAATATACATATATATTTATATATATAACTATGTAGGCAATATCGTAACGACATTGGTGCGACATTTTTATTATGGTTGTCCTGCGGTCGGGCGAAATCGTTATTTTTTATCGGTCCCAACCGATACCATACAAAACCCCACCTTGATAAAAGTAATATTTCAATGCTTCTTTCAATTGCATGAAAATTGCAACTATTATTTAAATACGCCTATATAATACAAACATTTCATACATGTCTAACGAGTAAGACTTTTTCTGTATTAACATACATAACTGCCGTCACTTCAGTAAATTTTTAATAATTTAAACTTTCATACGCATAGTCGGAATAGTTTATAAACAAAGAGGAAAGTTTTAATGAAAATTAAAGTAGCAAAATATATATGTATGTGTATAATACTATGTTCTCATTTAAGGTATGTATTAAGAATTTTGAATTGCTTGGATAATAGCATGTGAGTATGTTGGTACTGCATGATTTGAATAAATGCCAGCATGAAATATAAGTTCTTTTCACAAAATACCAATGCTATTTCTAAGTATTTCTTTTATGTTTGGCTTTGTAAATACCGATTTGACCAATTCATTGCAATAAATAAAGAGAAGAACTGGTTTTCAAAACACTTTAACTAAGAAGCTCAATTTTAGATTAGCGTCTTAACCGAATTTAGCTGCTTGAGACATTTTGCAAATATCGGAATGCTATGCGATGGATAGACGTTCCATAAATGACCCTTCTAACAGGAATTCATTGCTATTTGTTAATATGTCGATAAGTTGCTCAGATTCGCCCGTGTTTATGCTGAAGGGGAAAAAAGACGAAATCTCTGGAAGCAATCCACTGCTATTGAATCCATTTAAGGTAGCCGGTAAGGAAGACTTGCGACGTCGTTCTACGCCATCGATCATTTCAATGCTATTGCGTCTTCTTGTCATGCTATCTATGAGGGGCCTTTTTTCACAGGTCCGTTCGTAGTAAATATCTGGTAAATCATCAAAGTCCTGAAGTTCTAAGCAACGCTGTAATTTGGCAATGTTGCTCAACAGTAAACGATGATTAAGATCTATCTGTGGAAAGCCGCCATGTTTGATTTCTAAAATAGGCATCCAACGATAATAACATTGTTCCCATATTGCCAAATCAACCATGCGATGTTGCGGCTCCAAATAGCGATCCTTTGGTATTGTAGAGGAGGTAACAAACAATTGCGGATTGATGGTTGTAAAGCGTTGCTGTTGCCCTTGTTTCATTGCGGAAATTTGCGCTAGTCCGGGTAACATAACAGCACCTGCAGGTATCGCTATGGAGCGACGATTCTGTTGTTCCTGTCGTTGACGTTGGTAGAAAGGATTTGTAAAGAATACCTTATCTTTCTCAGCAAACTGTTCACCCCAATCCCAAACAGGACGCAGAACCAGATTACCAAAATTGACCGCTCGCGCTCGATCCGCCTCAGTATCAAATTGAAATGTATCAAATATAGGAAGAAAACACGAATCCCATAATGTGGTCAAATATGTTTGACTGTACTCAAATTCATCTGGGAATTGTTGCAATAACTGCCACACGCAGTCTAGAAACAGTAAGAACACGGGACTTTCTTCCTCTTCTGCTGCATCACCACGAACGTGACCTAATCTAGTTTGAAAAGGATGCTCCAGAGACACCCATTCCTTTTGTACCAACGACTGAAATCCATCAATTGTTCGAAATAGAGGATCTAGTATTATTTGCGTCAGGCTCGAAATAATACAACACAAATCCCGACCATTGGTTTCCTGCAATACACATGTCGTACCGGTTCGCAATGATTCTGCAGCCTCACATGAATATCGTAGACACAGTGACACATAGAAGAGCCAATTCGACTTTTCAACATTTGAAAGAAATTTGGAATCTTGAACCAGAAATTCTTGCGGACTTTCCGGAGTACAAAGGCGACGAAACTTTAGGTACGCTCTTTGTACATCTTGTATACTAGGAAGGCGATCCGTCAGTTGTAGAAGTTTTAGCGCATGACGTGGATCACACTTTCGCACTAGTTCAAGTGTTACATTTTCCACTTTCGTGTCTTGTTGCATTGCTGGTTTTAATTCCGCTAAGCGAACAAGCGATGCATTGCCATAACCATATACCCAAAACGCCGCTCGCGAATCGTAGAAGGCTCGTGATAAATCCAAGAACCGTTCAACTGTGCAGCATTTAGGAATGACAAAGTGAGGCGGTAGGGTGTACTTTGGGGCCTGCAACACATTTTGTAATTGAGGCACACTATCGGCACTTACAACTTGCCATTCGTTTGCACCACATCGTATTAACTCTCGTGCCCAGTCATTTTTTGTGCTATACATAGTGACACTCGATTTTCCTAACATGGAGTAATATGGCTCGCGATAACAGTACGCAAAACTGAGATCATGACGCGATGGATATGCGAATCGCGCTAAAGCTGAAGCAATCAGTTTTCCATAGTCAGGGCCAGATCTTGAATTTTGGAAGGCGAATTTAAGTAAACGAAAATTTTTGCAAATGATGTGAAGTGCCGTAATACGACTGCTCATCACTTTCTGTTGTGCGTCAAGTTTTTTGCGTCTATTTCCTCCACTTAATGCGCTTACGCTGACTCTACCGCCCTCTGCTAGCTGGTACACATAATCTATGTTATTTAGAGTAACGTCGTTACGTTGCAAGTATAAATGCTCCTGATACGATTCCTGGAGAGGTGTTTCCTGTTTGTGTCGTTGTAGTGGCACAAATGCCATTTTGAAATTGGTGACACTTAACAAACCGAATACTGCCTGGCGAGACATATCCAGCTCAGAACCTTCAGTAGGAGCAGGCAAAATAGCAGAAAACAGATAAGCGGGTGCCGATGCTACAACAAGTTCGTTGGGTAATAATCGTGGTTTAGCCAAATGAAGGTCCCGCAGCTCCGTTGGAAGCCAGTCATCGCTACCTTCTTGGCGAGGAATCTATCAAATCGAAATTTAATTATTGAGTATAGTAACTCATAAAGGAAATGCACATTTAGAGGTGATGTCATTTTTCCTCGTAACAGTACATTAAGTTCTATTGAATATAAACAACCTTAAAGCTAATATATTCTACTTACATCTCCAGGTGAGGGTGCAACATAACTCAAAAAAGTATTTCGCTTCCGGTCCGATATACTAGCCATGTTTGGTGATAATTGCCTATCGTCTGCTTGCTATGTCGACCTTCTTCCTATGTACTATAATCAATGTTGTAGTTATTGTCACTGCCGCTGGTTGAATTTTAATATTCAGTAAACGCAATGTCGCTACTGAAGTATTTGTGGTTGCAATGTCGTGTTGGTTTTATCCGTTCTATCGCGTCAAAAGCTAGGTGCTTTGTGGGCGGGCGTGTTGCAAACGCCAGAACAAGCACTGCGTCCGCCCTCTGCGTCAGCACTCTACTTTAGCTTAAATCTATTTTCTTTGATGTTTTTGTCTTTTTTCCTTGCTTTGCATGAGATAAGTAATGATAGTACTTCCCGACGGATTTGGTAAATTTTGTTTTCTTTATTCATGTGGTGTCATCACAAACGTCATATCAAAAATTTAATAAATGTGTTTTATTTTTCTTTTCACTGATAATTAAAGGTTCACTTGTGATGGTATTTTCTAATTCTAAGGCATTTCATACGCTAATATTTATTTTTCGGAAGTATTTTCATATTTTTCACCAGATTGAAGATAAAAAATTCACTTTCAATCACTTTTAGCTTATTTCCCAAATTACTTTGATCACTTGCTTTCTTTGACATTCCGTGCAGAGAACGTACGTTCTCTGCTCCGTGTTTAACAATCAGGGTAGCATTTTCATTAAAGCAATACAGTTTTACTCTATAATACAATTTATAATTGTTTTTAAATATTTATACACATTGTTATAAATTCAATAATTAAATTGTATTCCTATAAAAACAAATCAAGTGAATTATATTTAGGTGTTAAAAATCTTATTCAATAATATTGAGCTATTTTTACGATCACGTACGGTCGCCAGAGACAGCAAATGTATATTATTTCATTTCATACTACATATTATTATTATATTCACGAGCCTCGGTTAAAATGTCTCCTTCCGAGCTAGCTGTGGTGAAGTCCACTAATCGTCTTTTGTAAGGTTTTGACAGTTCACACGCTAGTCCGCAATTGAACCATCTCTTAATATACGTTCTTTGCCTGAGAACGTTCTCTACAATCGCTCTCTCACCTATAAGAGAGTGTCAAAATCTAATATGAAATGCGAACGTGGACTAAACGTCAAAGCAAATAGAGAAGAACAAAAATTCATCAGTAGGATTTAATTTTCGGCCACTTTGCTTTCATTTTTGGATGGAGCTTGCGGTAAATTTGGTTAAGAAAAAAATCCAAAAAAATTGTATTACGTTTAATAAATTATAATAA